TTTGGTCATGGTTCGATGATTTTTGGCAGAGTTATGCCCCTTTTACTTTGAAAGTAATATGAAATTTTCAGTTTCCGTTTAATATCTCCCCAATGGTACAACACATTCAACTCAAATTTGACATATGGATATGTTTTTGGAATGCCCAGGCCAAGTTCGAATTTGGTCATGGTTCAATGATTTTTGGCAGAGTAATGCCTCTTTCACTTTGAAAATAATATGAAATTTACAGTTTCTGTTCATTATCTACCCAACAGTGTTACATATTCAACTTAAATTTGACATATGGAAATGTCAAAGGAATGGGCAGGTCAAGTTGGAATTTGGTCATGGTTCCATGATTTTTTGGCAGAGTTATGTCCCTTTCACTTTGAAAATAATATAGATACATCTAAAGAATAAGCAGTTTAAGTTTGAATTTGGTTGTGGTAAAACGATTTTAGACAAACTTTTCTTTCCTGAATGTTGGAAAAATTTTGAACTTTCAGTTTCAGCACTCATACTTTTAGCCATTATTTTGGCTACAAATATGCAATATGCTATTTTTAAAAGGTTAAGACTGAATAATGTCAGTGCCTTGAACATTATATGAAAATGGTTTGTGTTAACATTGAAAAGTTTTAAGGGCTTTAAAATTAAAATGAAAAAAATAATTAATGCACCAACTGAAATTTTGGCTGCATGCGGGGGCATCTGTGGCATGATGACACATTTCTAGTTTCTTTCTAAACTACTTGAAGCTGGCTATTAAATATTTACATCATCCTAAAAAGCAGATGTTTCTCGTAATTTGCAAAGGAAATATGCAAATTACGTAATCTGCATTACAAAGTAAAGTATTTAAATCACTGTTTGACTGTAACTGTGTGTTAGGAATGCTTATTTCAAGTACACTAAAATCTGTCAGTTGTTGTTATTATGTTTACTGTATGTAAATACATGTACATGTAATTAAGATTTCGTCAGAAGTAAAAGCTGTTAAACTAGCTTTTGTGTCTGAAATGGATGAAGGTTTGTACAAACTCGGTAGCTTACTTTACTTCCATGATTGTATAGTGAATAATTGATTTAAAAAGCGAAATAAGACTAAGTAAAGTCTGGTTTTATTGTTGATCAAACTTACAATGTGTAAATAACAATTACTTAACTCAATTAAGAAGTTATAAATGTTTATCATTTTTGAAGAAGTTTACACTAAAGCTTTTTATATGTTACTTCATTCCTAAATGACTTCTAACTGCAAACTGTGTGAGTATAGTAGCAGAAGTGCCAATACATGACACTAATTGCCTCCCCTGATGTTTTCTAAATTTACAAAGTCATGAAACTTGGCGAATCATAACATTCTAACATAAATAGGCATTATGCTGCATATAAAAAAGTAAAAGAGACTGTATTAACTATGACAAAGATTATAATAATATATTCCTAATAGGGATTTCAATTATCTTTTCAAATATATACATTAACTTACGTTGGCTAAACAATATTTCAACAAATCACACAAGAAGACAATTATATTTATAAAATTTGGCAGTTTTCTTGTCCGACATAACCTTGAATGTTAAATTTTGATCAAAGTCTGTGATAGCTCTTGTTTGATTTGGCTCTTGCTGTAAATGATAATTTAATACTGTAATGTCCATTGATTGTTATGGAGTTTTTGTAATTATGCAGATGATAAGTTTTATGCTCATGCATTTCTTAATAAGCCTTAATACCCTGCTGGGATTGAAAGTGATAGGCCTTTATCACCTGCATAGAGTCAGGCCAGCCTGTACATTTGTGCAGTCTGACCAAGTTCTATACTGTTGGTTGCTTGGTTTCTATATTTTGATGTTAAAATCACTTAAAATTTTAATGGACTGTTCCAAATTCAAACCTGTTTAAAACCATTAAACAAATTTAGCAGGTTAGGGGTTAATTTTTGACATACTTATTGAAAAGTAATATAAGTGCCTGAGTTGCACTTATTAAATGGTGAATATTCTTTCAACAATTCAGTGATATGAAATCTAGATGTGATTGTGCATCAAGTGTATAATTATGTATACAATGTATTTATGTATATAGTCTGATGAGTATGCAATTCCATATAGATTTTCCATTCTTTGTTAAGAAATATTATGCTCATCCTTGAGCAAAATATTTCAAGCACAGTAATTATTGAAATCTGTGAAATTCTTACTGATAAGATTATGTCTTATTTGAATAAAAGAATAAATGAATAAACTATGTATGGAAGCTGCCTTCCCTGTTATGGGATTACATGTCAAGAAAAGTTGGTCTTTCCTTGTCAAATTAAACTGCCAGTTTTTTTATGACACTATATTAAACTCTTATTCATATTGTTACAGACCATCTATAGTGTGTAGAATTTTAAACAAAACATATCTACTTTGTGTGAAGTCAAAAACATATTTTTTTTTCATATTTTTTACAAAGAGACTGTGTAGCAATTATCAATATTTTTTTTTAATAGCACATTTGAGCATAGTATGTCATTAACTTTTAACAGGTTTTTGAAATACCTTAATCTAAGAATGAACAGTTCCGAATTTAAATGTAGAGCAAGTCTATTATACAAATTTAGAAGGGTTAATGTACAAAAACCTGAATCTCAAATTCAATAAGACTTTTATTACCTTAATGTAAATCAAATAAAAATGGTCGATTTTCAACATCAACCATCATTTATGATAGCTGTTAAGTGTTTGTGTATGCTTGAAACCCTCCCCCAAGGTATAAATATTGAAGCTTAGCTAATGGCTTTCTAAGATTGTTTTCTCTTTTATGGTATAGATTTCACTTGTTCTGCATTATAGATGAAAGAACTGATAAAGTTAGCCAGGTATATCATGTTTGTCTAATAGATACATGTGTTTGAATTATTGAGAATGTTTCATTTTGGATATGACTAGCAGAGATTTGAAAACTTTTATGATATACTGTTGATGGTGCACATGACAAGTAAGTGTTTTAGCTTTGCAATGTATACTACCTGTATCACATATACTTTATGAAGGAATTGTTTTGCTTATTTCCAAGGTAGAAATCATAGTTATAAAATACATTTTATTTATACAAAAAAATTATAATTTGCACTTACAACAAACTGTAAACGCCAAACAGTTTTGCATCACCTGCACATGTAGCACTTACTGCACTCTACATAACCCCTTTAATACAGTGAATTTTTTTATGTTAAACATTTACACTAAAATTTGATAGATCTTAATTAAAGCAGGGAAAGTCATTTTAAAAGCAAAAAATTTAGATAAAGATTATTAATGCTCTGTATTAGTTACCAGTAAGAAAAAAATAACTATTTAACAGCTAAAAATAAGCAACATAGGAGCCACTGAAGCTGTTTAAGATGTTACTTTTTGTCTTATTAGCATCTGATTAATCTAGTTTTTGATGAACTTGTTGTGGGCATGAGAAGTGTTTATAAGCATACCAGTAGATGGACAGATGTTAAACTGGTAGAATTTTTCTAATATAGGCCTTTTCACTTGATGTGCATTTTACTTAATACAAAATATATATCAAATATGTTTTAATCTTAAGGGCAAGTACGAATATAATAACAGTACATAGGTGATTGATATGGGATTTTATCAAAATGGCATATAATTGTTAACAAAAATAAAGTAAATAAGCTTATTGAATATAACAGGATTATTGAGAAAGAAACACATTTTTAGACAGACCAATCTGTTTAACAGACAATATCTAATTAAGAACAGACAAAATCTAATTAAGAACATATGTTTCTGATGTGAAGCTTGACTGGTCAGGACAATTTATGGTGATCTGTATGTGTCATTAGATCATATGATTGTTTTCCCTGACTCTCCAGGGATTACATGGTTTTGAATATCAATAAGTTCAATTATTCTACGTAGTTCCGCAGCATTTCCGAGGCCATGGGTATTGATCTGGAAGAGAACGATCATATTTATAAACAACATATTGTAGGAAAAGGGTGTTAAAGTATTTCAGAAGTATGTCTGTCTTGTAAATGAGGTAACAGATGTGAAGCATCAAAGGGACATTATGGTATCAGAAATAAAGAAGTTGTTTATAATTTAGATCATCACAATTCTAGTTATACTGACCTCTTTGACTGGTAAATCTATTTATTACCCTAAGTTGAAAAATTAAAATATAGTAATGTAATGTTAAATTATCACAGTTATCTTAATAATTTGAAGTTTTGTTCAGTTATTAATTTTTACAAAAATTTTGATGTTGAAGCCAGAAGACAAGGATTTTAAGAAAATGATCATAAACAGTTCTATAATGATAAACATTAGATACTTATTAATTATATGATGTTTCTGAGTAAAAGTTTGCAAAGAAATAATAATTTATCTTTTACAAGAATACAGTGCAACCTCTGTAGAGCAATACTTTTTTAACAGACTAACATCTTGGGTGTTACTGTATTACATACATGTATAATAATCAAGCTGCCACCAGTATATTACCTAGATTATAGCTCTTAGATCAGCTAGCCTGGATAATGCAGGCTGGCCTAGCTCTGCACTGTTGGCATAGACATATTTATCATTATTACATTTACACTGTTAAAATTGTACATGTATGGTTAAAATTTCATATGAAATTTATTTTTAAATTGATGCCTGTATTGTCTGACTTGTATAACAAGCGTAGAAAGAGAAAATATTTATTGAAAGCTGGATAATACTAACAGTAAGCTGTACACACAGACTTGTAAAATTGGATATGATTGGACGCTTAAGTTCAGCTGAAAATATATTTAAGCAACTTTCTAAGCTTTTATTGCAAATATTTATAAGTTTTAGTAAAGTCTACTGTATTTTGTCCTGACTTTCACCGGCATTATCGGCTATGCATGGTTAATTGGAATCATTTAAGTCAATTTATATTTTAATTATTCAAGGACTGGAAATGACTATTGATCTGTAGCCCAAATCATTAAGATTGTGCTTTGCATTATTTATTTGTTCTTTCGCATAATATTTGTAAATGCATTGACAATTTGATGGTAGAGTGATTTAGGCAACTTTCGACATTTCTCTAGAAAGGAAAATGCAACTTTAATTCATTCTAGAGAAAATTGGATTGTTTGAAGTATTTTTTCGTGTGAATAAGATTGTAAGTAAGTTTGCTTCTATTTGCTGTACTTATTATCAGTAATGTTTATGTATCTTTATTTTCGAAATTTATTTATTTGTTTAATTAATTATTTTTGTATTCATTTTATTATTTTTTGTGAAATTAGATAGAATTGTATTTTTTATTACTTAAAATTCTTTCCATTAATTATAAAAGACTTGTGCACATTAATGCCTCAGAAATCCACATTTTTGTATTTCTATAGAAATGTTTTAATATTGGATGAGCATGTAAGAAATATTTAATAACTGAAAAAAGTGGTGTATACCATGCAATGATGTCTCATGTACATGTATAAAGGTAGCAAAATATGTAAACAAAGTAGTATTTTGACTTCCGTAAAAAAAATACTAATTCACTTAATATACTATTTATTTTGTAAACAGAGCTAAAGATAGTTTATGTATATGGCAAATGAGTATTTTTTTGGAAACAGTGATAGAAATAAAAATTATAACATTTCAAATGCAAAATGGGTCTTTAAATATTCAATTTCTGTTATACAGTTTCCTATTTAAATAGGGTCCTAATAGTGTGATTCTTTTGATAATGTGTGACATTCAGAGAATTGTCAAAATTTATATGCTTATAGCTGTGTTACAACAGAATTATTCTGACCTTTTTATATGAATATAATATTTTGCAATTTAGCAAACACTTTATTGAATAAAGTTTATTCTATTAAAATTGTTGAAAAGATTTTTAATAAAGTAAAAGCTCTTTTCACAAAGACAAAGCAAAGATTCTCCTGATTGGATACACAAAATCTGATAATAATTGAAAAATTATAAAAGTTTGACCATTTATGCAAGATAGTTTGGTTAACATTGTTAGTTGGTCTGTATATTTTTGTATTTTCAAGTTTACTTAGAATCCTGTGTTTATCTTTAATTTTAACCAGAATTTTTCATTAACACAGCAAACACAGTTGTCATGGTGATAAATAACTGTATGACAGTGATTGGTACCCACTTTTCTAAGATTAAAGATTTCTGTTTTGCTAACAGACTAATGAGGGGTTTAGTCCATCAATTATTGTCATTGTGAAGGTTGGATCAATACAGGCTTTTTATTGTTTTGTTCCAGGAAAAAGGTTTAAGGTTGTAATTCTTCTATCAAGAAAAGTGTTCAATTAAAGTTTGTTCTTTGTTACATCAAGTCTAAATGGACAGATAATGCTTTTTCTGTAATTTTGACAGTTTATAGGAATGGTAAAATCGGCACATTAATCTTAAAATAACCCTGATAAATATATTATTAAATGGACTTGTTCATCTTTTTGTCATTTTGAGGGGAAATTTTAAAACAAATACTGACTGATTAGCAAACGGTTGCAGACCATGGTAAGACAGCATGGCCGGTGTGCAGACTGATCTTGGTCTGCAGTTGTTGTATATGTAGATTCTTTAGCTGCCATTGGGCTTATATAGTTCTTTCCCTCATTTAAAACTTATTGTTTTACATCAGGAAATGGATATTATATTATGGTTAGAGATATTTCTATGAGGAAAGAAATGTCTGAAACTTGCATAATATCTTCACTTAAAGTTTTTGTTTTTCATTTATATTATGTGAGAAAAGATGTCAGAAGACTGCTGCAATCTGTTATCTCTAGTGCACCATATTTTCTCTCTATCAAATTATAACTCTAGAATTAGATGAATTTTATGAGATTTAATTTCCTGTGGAGAAACAGAAGTTCGGGTAATAAAGATGTTTAATTTGTCAGAGTACAAAAAACAAACAGGGAGACAAAGTTTAAAAAGTGTGATTTCCCATCAGCATAGTGATGCTGGTTGACAATTTTGTAAAAAAAAAAAAATATTGGTTAAAGTGATTTTTTTAAAATGAAGCACATTAAGGGGAATGAGTTGATTATTATTTGTAGGGTTACTTTTCTTGTGTAGTGTTTCATTGATAGGTCAATCCACCAATTTAAAATCCTGCAAAATTTCTTTTTTGGTCTTTTGAAAAATGCAAAAAGGGGTGTGGCAGTAAAAAATTAGTTAAAAAAAATCGGATTTTTTTCCTTATATTTGAAAAATATATGTTAATGACTTATACTATCTAGAAAAGAATAAAAGTAATGAAAATCTGATTCCTGTTGGTGCCCATTATGGTCTGTAATCACTAAGCACAGTGGTATATATAAATAACATGATTATACTTTGATATTGAGGAATCTAACATCAGATTATTTACATTCAAGGCTTGTGATGACTATCATTAGTGCATGAAGAAATATATTAATGCATTTTATGATGGATCATTTTATAGATTTTGTTTATGATCAAATTCGTTTTTCTGTACGCAATGTGATTCTTGGCAGATTTTATCAGTTTTTAACATCAGTCTGTCTGTGGAATAAAACTGTTTCTTTGTAACATAAACTTTAATTGATTTTTAATTGATTTTATATAAATGTTGACCGTGTAATAAAGTTAAGTGTCTCCCATTTCAAAGTTTAAGACTATGAAACAAAAACAAATAAGTATCGGCCAACTATTTAAAGACAGTCATGTCTTACCCATTTTAGCTATGTAAAAATTTTATCACTATATACTGTTGTATATTTGTTTTAAAAACAGGAAGTTGAGAAGATATTTTTGCAACTCTTATTTATATCATCTTTTAGGCAAGTTTTTAAAATATCTGTGTTTCCCAGCCCATTTATATATATAGAAATATATATGAAAGCAAAACCAACACAATTTTAAATATCAATACAAATATTGCTTCGCTTTATTAGCTTCGTCAGTTGATACATAAAAGAAATGATGTAAATGTACCAATTGCCCACTGCTTAGAAAAAGTTGTTTTGTTTTTTTTTGGTCAATAGAAATTTTTGAATAGCAGTGACTTGTGGGTTAAGGTAGCAGGAGAAGAAGCAAACAAAATGCTGTGTTTGGATCCATGCTGGTCGCAAACCCACTATGTTGGTTTTGTTATGACACGACTCAAATTTGTTTTAGACCTTATTGATAGAAATACTGGTAGTACAAAGTGAGTGTTGATATTTTGTAGATTTAAGTACCTTACAATAGCTTGACTGCCTTCTACTGACAATGTAAATTATTTGCTATCTTTGATATTTCAGGTAGACCCAGTGTGGGACAATGACTGAAACATTGTCTCAATTTTTCACCTGGGCTGTGCGAGATGTAATCTTCTTCAGTGGTGATGTACAGACAACTACCATTGCCGTGGCAATCACCAGCTCTCTTTGCTGCTCTATTGTTGTGGCAGTGGTACATGTTATAGCATTAATCAGGCCACAGGGGGTAAAGAAAACTAAATCAAGAAGACATTTTCAAAGGTCAAGGTCAGAGAGCTCGCTTACTTCAAAGGTAAGCAAAATACAATGTTCAATATTGTATAATGAAGATACTAACAGTGTCGGTGTGACGTAAAAACCCAATCCAACAAACAAACAAAAATAAAAAGATTTCAGACTTAAATATTGTCAATCTGACTAAAGTTCAGATCTTATTATGTTTATATGTCGATCTGTCATCGCCATTAACTTATTGCCGTCTTATCAATTTGGATTTTCCAAAGGCTATTTTAGCAAACCTAACAGAGAATTATTTTACATCATCAGTGAAGTCAGTCAAGTCTTTAATTTTGCCTAATGAAAAAAAAGCAATTTTAAGTAGATATGTGGGAATATACTGTATTCCTAGAAACTTTTGCAGAAACAATATTTTGTGTTTTTCATAAGAAGACAATCTTTTGCGTGGTCATAGTGACTGCAAATTTCGCAAATATAATTAGTCACTGGGGTAAAGAGCATGTATATTACTTATATCACAATTAAGTTTCTGTGTTTGTTCACTCTATACCGGCAAGAAAAGACTAAGGCAAAAATACATTTATAGGATAGGTGGGGGTGGATAATCCTGAAAGCCTTTTTGCTTTATTAATTCCCTTGTTTGACTTAGAAAATTTGCTTTTTTCTAAAAAAAAAAACAACATTGAAGTCGTTCACTTTAAACTTTAAATAATTGTTGACTAGTTATGGCAGATAATTATGTTTCTATGTTGCTTTTATTTTACTATCCAGTAGTCAGAAAAGTGGAGCGCACTGTTACAATGCAGGCAGGTCTTGTCGGTATCTAAGCCTTATTGATTCTAGATAATTCATCTAAAAAGTGTGGCTGTCAGCATTTTTGTTCACCTCTAATGTCTTCAAATAGCGAAAATCATGTACTGGTACACAAATTGTGGTTTCTCAAAGGATAAAAATAAAAGTTATCCACTTTGCTGCCACTGATTGGCTGATTGAAAGGTCACAAGAGGGTGACCTCCTTTCAATCACTATAAGATCCACATGCAAACATTATAAAGAAAATCTGAACTGTTTGTAATATTGTAGCCTTGTTCCATTGGTTAAATCTTTACTGACACTTAACCAATCAGTATGATGCATGGATGCTGAATGGTTTTCTACATTTATTTTAGTTTTATAACTATGGATAACCTTGGTATAATTTTACAGTCATGCCAACACTTATTTCAGAGTGTAGGTGGGTGTAATATTTATTAAAGTGTATTGAGAAATTGAAAAGTGATCATTGTCAGAGTTTCAGTTACACCTTATTCAATGTGATAATTATTAGATATATTCCGATAACATGAAACAATAATGAGTTTTAGAAATTATTAAAATTTTAAACCTGAGATTTTCTAGAAGTTTGCAGGATTTCATTTTATTGTCTGTTTCCTAGTGCTTGAAAGAAAATAATAATGAAAAAAAATTAGTGAGGAATCTTTATGTGGTTTTTCAGATTTTTAAAGACAAAAGTAGAAATAGTTTATTATCTTGACTATCAAAAAAAAGAGGAGTTATTGAACTATATAACCCCAGACTGGCCGTCACACTTTGATGAAGTTTTTTCCATGAAAGGAATGGGTTTAAACTTTACACACTAAGCCTTGTTTCTGTGATTATATAACTTTATGGGCACAGGTCTCACAACTCTGAGTTACCTATTTACAGAGTTATGCCCCTTTTCTTACTGTCAAGCACTGTGAATAGTCAAGCCTTCTGTTGTACAGGCAGCTCTTGTTGATATATGAGACATTTTAAAGTATTGTTACAAGATTGATATTATTATTACCTAGGGGTTTAAGCTCAGTTAACCCATGGTAGGTAAAATTCATTAATTACAACAATAACAGCAAACAATAATGACTGAAAAAATCTGAAAAGAATATGGTCTGGTGTGTTTCTGAATAATAAAAAGAAATGAACATGTATTTTTACAATAATAGTTATATATAATGGTGTCACCACCTTACAAGAGTATGCTCAAGTCATTGAGTGTGCTCTATTATATGTCATGCAATATCCAGTGATTGGCAGGGTTCGCCATGCTGAGATTTATTATACTAATTTACACATAAAACCTATTAAGATTTCAATAGTATTCGAAAGAAATGTCAGCCAAATAAAGGCAAATGAGAGAATTGATCAATTTTTGTACAACAAAAAAATAAAAACCAATCTAATGCTATGCCCATCTCTATGTAAATAGGAAGCTTCTTGCATACCAATAAAGTTTATACAGATTTCCTGGTATTATAAAATTGTCTGAATGACTGTAATGAGTTAGGACCCAGCTGGTTAATAAGGAAAATACGAATGGAAATTAATTCTGAGAAGTCATACAGAACCTTCTTGTTTGACATTTCTCCATGATGTATGGAAGAATTATTGTTTTACAAATTCCTTGGTTTGGTTTTTTTGCTGCTGTTGTTTTTGCTTTTTACAGAAAATAAGTTTGTTTTTTTAAGAATTAGTGCAGAAATTGTTTGAAATTTGTATTTTCAGAAATATTCCCCTGTTTGGCTGTCAAGTGGAAAAGTTCATGTGCCTTGTGTAAAGTAAGTTAATTTGATGAAGCTTGCATGTTTTTATATTTACGCACAGTCATATATGATTAAAATTAAAACATCTCTCTCCGGTATGATTCAGAAAAACAAATAATGAATAATTAAACTCTTCAGATTGAATGTGCTAAAGTGATATTAAATTATTGTTGGCTGAATGCTTCTCTTAAAATATCTGGTACATAATTTGCATAATTGATAAGCTTAAGTGTCATCCGAATCAAATTAAATGTAAAAAAGGTATAAATTTTTGAATACCCGTCTAGTGTTTCATAATAAAGTTGTTATTAAAGTAGGCATGCTTTCAGACTGTTTTGATGATCAGATTTTTAACCAAGTTTCTCAACAGGAAAAATCTAATCAATAGATTGGTTAAAGTCCGTGGGTGGTTTGATGTTCCTATATGATTTCTTCTGTGTGCAACTTATTTTTCAAATCTCTTTAACTTTCAGAACTCTTTGTTATTAAGTTCACTTTGCATATTGTTATCAAGTTCACTTTGCATATTTGGGGGGGGGGGGGGGCTTACTGCGCTTATTAACGCGATAATTATGTAATATTCTCTTCTATTCTCTCAGATCTTTTTTATGAAAAGCCCCTTGTTCATTTTGTCAAGATTTTAAAACTAATTTTAGCAGAACACCTTAGTTTTTGTCAATATCCTTGTACAAATGTACTTGTTTTGTTATCAAGTAGTGCATTGTCAGTTTAACTGTTAATTTAGAATAATTTTTAACAACTAAGCAAAACTAGAAAGGAACATTTGATGGTTCTACTTTTATTAGTGTTCCAACTATTACACCAGCACAATTTTTCATATGTGTATTTTTCATTTGAAGATTAACATAGATATTTTCACATAAACATTTTGTAGTTAAGTAGCTCACTACATGTATGTCAAGTGACTACAGTCAATAAATTTCTACACTTGTGTCAAGTGATTGATTACAGTTAAATATCTGTACTGGTTTAAAATCATGGGTAATCACTATGGATAAGTGCTTTCTGTTATATGACTGAAATACTGTAATTTAGCCAGTAAACCATTTATTTGACCCTGCTTAATTTAAACAGTGTATTTTCTCTCCTTTCATTAAAAAATGTTTGTCTTTCTGTAAATGAATCATTTCCTAGTGGCATTGCCAATGGCTAAATTGTCATTTTCCCTAAATGGTTTCCAAAATTTCTCAATAACTTTAAAACTCATGTTTGACTTTTTTTAACCTGTATCTAACTGATTTCAAAACAGGAATAAATCTTAATTGGGTGGACAAGGTCTTGTTCCTTAAATAGTCAGAAAAAACACTGTTATGTAGTAGGACTTTGCTTTGAATTAGGAGCAGTTGGTAATCATTATGTTTTGAAGGGATTTTAGAAACAAATTCTAAAAACTAAAGTCAATACATTGTAGTATATAAAACCCACTGGTATGACTGGATAGATGTACAGACTGACTTGACTCTGGTTTCATTAGCAAGCCATTGTTATTGGTTATAGTCAGAAAGATAGTAACCTATCTATTTTAGATGTGGTCATTTCTATGCGGATGATGGATGTAGATTTGTTACATGTAAATCCTGCTGTTTCTCTGTTTTGTTATGTCAAGTACACCAGAAGAAATCCATATCAAGTACGCCCTGTGATGATAAAAATACAGAAATGGATCTAAGGTAAACCTTATATACATGTATATTGTTGCTTTAAATGGTCTTTTTATTGTTTGTAAATAGAAAAGTTACAAAACGCCTTGTCTTATTATTAGGGGGAAAAAAACAGTGTCTACTCCAAAACCATCTTACAAAATTATGCCATATAAATTAATGATATTTTTACACAAAAATTTTCGTTTACAAATATAAGTGCCATAAACATTGATACAGAATCTAGATGATAATAATCAAATGTGTTTGAATGAAATATAATTTATGAATGCTTGACAAACATTAAAGATATTGAAACAGGTTAGAGGATTTTTGGAATTATGAAACCCCATAAATACCTGTGAAAAAAAGTAGGTTAATACTGGCTTCTTAAAGGGACTCACTCCACTGAGGTTTTTTTGGACATAATGGGAATGAAAATATTTTTTCCAGATAAATGTACCATTTGATGTAGGTTTAGACTACTAATCTTTGTGCAAAATTTCAGATTAAATGCGCACTTCGTTTTTTCCAGAATGATGATTCAAATTGTAAAAAAATGACCCCCAATAAAAAATGTTTAAGACACTTTTCATTCAAATCTGGCTACGAAAAGCATAAAAATATGGTTTTCAATTTATTTCAAAGTATATTTCTTAACTATCTTTGCATATATTTCTGTTTAAAGTGCCCCAGCTCATTAAATTTTATGTAAGAAATTCAAATGTTATTTTTTTAGGCTTTTAAACCTCAGTGGAGTTCTTTTAATATAACCACCTACTAAACAGAAAAATTTACATATACTATAAAACTTGCACAGTCTAATTTGAGCTATTGTTCACTTCCAAGAAGAGGTCACTAAATTGCTGTCCGCTTCAAGCGGCTCCCTGTGGCCATTTTGAATCCAAACAATGGTCAGTGTCATCTTGTTTACAAACTTTGTAGATTTTAAATGTTATATTTTATGCAGCCTTTGAATTCTATATTCATGTAAGTTCTCAATGAAGCAAAATACCATACGTATGTTTTTGTTTTCATTTGATTTATTTAAAGAACTGTTACATATTAATTGTGGTTTGTTTTTCCCTACTTTTCTTATTATTTTAGCTCTATAGGCATGCAGGCGTGCCCTGAGAGACTTGGATTCATTGGTCACCAGTTAACTTGCCTCAATTTGTCAGACAATAAGCTACATGAGCTTCCGCCAGAGATTGGATGTCTGCGGGGACTGCAAGTGCTTTCATTGCAACATAATCAACTGTCAAAATTACCAGTAAGTTGTATTTCAAAATAATAGGTAGTATTAGCCAATCTTTTGGGACTTGTTACAATTGTTTACTGCTCATCACTCATATGTTTCTGCAGTATGTAATGACCCACCCATTTCACTGCTTTTACATTCCCGTCTTGCAGGTTCTTACATGTGTTAATAGCCAGTTACTCTAATGATGGTTAAGTTATAGTACTTATCCTAAAACTGTAGATATAAAATCATACTATGATATACTTATCATTTGAGCAGAATAAGGACTGCAAGATGTAGTTAACATCGCTAAGAAATATTATTCAAACAAAACTTTGTATTTTTATGGAATAATGAAATATTTGAATACAACTCATGTTAATCTGTGAACAAAATTTATCCCTGAACCTCCTGAATTTGTATAATGAATTTTCCCAGCTTCAAATTTGAAACAGTCAGTATGAATTTTAAGGGACTTCATTTACAAAGTACGAAAATTGAACTGCCAACATCCTAGAGCCTGGTCAGACTATACTGGCTTGGATATATGCTGGTGGGAAAGACTAATCATCTTAGGCTGCAGCAGAAGTTTATCTTATTTTACAGGAAACTGTGGGATCATTGACAGAGCTTGCTTATTTTGACCTCAGCCATAATCAGTTTACCTCATTTCCAGGTATATAATTCTTTATTTATTCACAGAATTTTTAAGGACGTTGTTTTCTGGGATGGTCAGTAACAATATTTTCATAACGTCTTATTCTTTGTGGTGGTAATATTATGATTGAAACATGACTGAAGTTGAAAGCCTTGTGTATATAGTCATTGAAACCATTTGTCTGTTACTCCATTTGAAGTTAACCTAAACTCGCAGGTTGGATATATAAGTTTTACTTGTACCAATGGCTCCATAATTTACACACTGTGTCTTCAATTTTTCCACAAGTATTTCCCTCTTTAGTGCTTTGAAAAATAGGTATGGTTAAGCTGTTCTGGTGAGTTTGATATATGGGGGGTAATAGAAGATAGAAAACTGGTATTGCTACTTGTATTTATTGTTCATGCTTCAGTTTTTGTGACATTGCACTACATGGTAATGCAGGCATTATTCTGCATATCTCTTTATGTAGAGCATTTAAGTATTAATACTTTATATTTGGTGGAACACTTAAGCAACATCTCTATTTGCCATGTAATTTTATATATTTCAAGTTACTTATGGATATAAGTTGGCAAATACTTCCATAGAGCAATATTATTTTGGCACTGAAACGAAACCTTTATTACTTAGTAGTGTTCTACCCAGTAGTAAATAATTCAAATGCTGCTGATAAAGGGTGTTAAACCTCTTATGCTTGGTGAATATGTCTTAAACTTCTCAACAAATTATATACAATAGGCAAATCAATAAAACTAATCCATTCATCTAGCCCATCACATCTGTAGAAAGCATATCTGTTATATTATAGACAAACAGAGGTGTTAGCATTCAGGAGAAGAAATTTCCAAGAAGTCTGTGAAAGCTAGAAACTGTCAGAAAAATATCTTATACATTGCATTTCCAAGACATATTTCTTCTAAGAATTGCAGCTTTACCTTTTCAGATATTTACAATGCATTTAAAATATTGACAATTCAGATTGAGAATTATTAAAGTAAAAATGTTTTGTGTGTTCTGCCGACATTTATACAAGTATTCATAAAGAAACTATGTAGTAAATATTGGGTCATGTACATGATGTATTAACCTTTAATCAATGGACTTGTCCTGCTCCCATTTATAGAAATTTCTGTTATCAATTTTTGGGGATATCAAGATTAAAATTTAAGGTTAATCAGCCAATAGGACATTATAATATGATAAGGCCTAGAGCTTTGATATTTGGTGTGTAAGATTGTAAAAATGGACCTTTGCTAAGTTTGATTTTACCATGACCCAAGACATAAATTGACCCCAGGTGTCACTTTATTTTACATAGAGTCATTTAGGAAAACATTTTAAATCATTTTCTCCATAACTGCAAGACATAGAGCTTAGATATTTTGTGTGTAATTTTGTTTAGTATACCACTACTAAATTGACTTTGCCACCAAGCCACTTGATTTTGGTTTTACATAGACATGTTTAAGGGAAACCAAGAGCTTAAATGTTAATTGTTTGGCATTATCTGGTTTTAATTATTTTGCTCAAAGGAAAATCAGTGTCAGGTGAAAGATCTAGGGCAATCATTTTAAGTATTTTAACACCTTTTATATAAGGATAAATAGTTTTCATAATGGAAGTTTCTTTATCAAGTCATATCTCAAACTTTTTTCCAGTCATACTTCATAATAATATGACATGTAATCAATAAATGAGTGAGATGGACTCATAAAAGAACTAGAAATGTGGCCATTTAACATGAATTCCCCAATATTCCTATGTTATGTCAGACAGGTTAAAGGCAGAAAGACACAGTAGACATTAAAACATTATATTTATATATATGCCACCCCCTAATAAGTTGGGACAGGTAAAATATTTTAACTGTCATTCCCCTGTTAATATTTATGTTTATTATATACTTTTAAATGAAATATTGAGAAATATTGATGAAATAAAATGCGTATATTTTTCCGTATTTTCACTGTAAAAATTCATTTTTCACTGCAGTTAAACATATTTTCCGTATTTTCACTGGTGTCTTGCTGGACTACTTTCTTTAAAATTGTGCCAGTACTCAAAAATTAAGCGAAAGTCTTTCAAATTTTAATGTCCAGACAGAGAAAAAATGTATATATAATAAACAGAAAATTCAAGTTTTTAACTATAAATACATGATTTATTTTCATCTTGTGGCATGAAAATTATCATATTTCACTCGTGGCTACCGCCACTCATAAATATTTATTTTCATACCACTCGATGAAAATAAATCATGTATTTATAGAAAAAACTTGAATATCCTCTATTTATTTTGTATTTATTTCAGATTACATACAAAGTTTGGTTCAGCTTAAAGAATTACATATGTCTCACAATGAATTGTCTCAATTGCCTTCAAAAATCTCCTTTCTAGGCAAACTTCTAGTCCTTGATATCAGGTAAATATGTTTATTTTTTAGACATAACATAAGTCCTTGATATCAGAAAAATATGATTATTTTAGATATAACTTAAGTCTTTGATATATAAATAAATATGTTTATTTTAGATAAAACTTCATGCCTTGATATCAGAAAAATATGATTATTTTAGATATAACTTTAGCCTTTGATATCAGAAAAGTATGTTTATTTTAGATAATTTAAGTCCTAGATATCAGGTAAAAACAGTGAAAACCCTTACTTATAGGAATAATCATCATTTTAAAGCTGTTTTTCCTACATTTGTTTGGTTTAATAGGGTTATACACATTATACCTATATGTTTTATAGTTTAATGATTCTGCTGTGTGTATATAATGGTCTGGTTTAATATTTTTAATTTCAGCCACAACAGTTTAGTCAGTTTGTGTGTTGAATTATTTTCTCTTTTCCAATTAAAGGTAAGTTGAAACTAAAAACTTATTACTGCCAATAAAATATGATACATTTACGATCTGTTTTCATGGAAACACAATTTAGTGCTTATTGAATAATTGTGTCTGAATTTGTCTAGGTATATTGTTGAGCTGTTTCGTTTGTTGAGCTTTTTCTGCTCTTTGTTTTTCTGCTCTTTACAGCAATTTTTCTTTTTCAAAGTTTTATTTGTCATGGCTTTTGGCTCAAAAATTGCCCTGTTACTTTGACATGCATTGGAAGCATATTTGAAAAAGTACTACTCAGAAACTAAAATGCCCAGGCAATAGATTTTTGGTATGTATTTTAACCTTCTTGTCTTCTTCAAAAGTTTCACAACACCACTTGACCCTCACTGGTGTAGGTTGAATACCACTAGGGACTTTAGATTCTTTTTTGTGAGGAAGCTATTTAGCTAGCTTATGGAATGTCAGCGGTTCTACTCAGATGCTCGCTCATGCCTGAAATAATGTGCAGAGTCACATGAGATCTTCCTAAAAAAAAAACAAAAAAAAAACACACCAAAAAAACCCCCAAATCTAAGGTGAACAGATATAAGGCCATCATGGCCCACTTGTTCAATATCAGATTTGAAATATGTTTTCTATTATATCAGAAAATGTGCTTTAAATAACAATAAAGATTTTTTTTATTGAAGAAATAAAATTGGGTTATTTCAGGTGCTTAATATAGGAGGAAATAAGCTGGAGAGTTTACCTAGTGAGATAGGGAAGTTAATCTGTCTGGACACCCTAGATGCTAGATCCTGTACCTTATCATATCTACCTAGTGCCATAGGAAACTGTTCTAATCTTAAACTGCTCAGGCTTAATGACAACAGGTTTGGATATTTTAAATCTTGTATCACTTTATATAATACTGCAAACTGGTAACATTGACTGTTGAATTTCATATGACAGTTATGACGTTTATTTCTAGCATATCAGACTGGTATTTTGGTAAGTTTTACCCATGCTGATAATTTCATCTGGTATGAGGGGGTGCCAGATGAGTGGCATGTTCCAAAATGACATTGCTTTGGTGCATTTTCAAATGAAACTGCCATCATTTCACAAGTACATTTATAAACTATTGTAAGAAAATGGTGGAGGCGTGGCCAAGTGGGACTAGTAATCTAAGGATTGCTGACTGTGTGGGTTCAAGCCCTGTCAGGTGCAAGCCATTGTTTCCTTGTGCAAGAAACTTTACATGTATTGCTTAGTACTGGTTGGTGCCAGGAAAGGATTTGAGAGTGTTACAATAAGCTTATAGCTTCCAACACAATCAAACTAAAATAAATTTGTATAAACTAGGAAAATGGTAAAGGATGAAAATATAATAACTTCCATGAAAAATTGATTTATGGAGGCAAACCATATAAAATATGGAAGAATATGCAAGGAAAATTATTTCAAGTTTTTGTAGTTAAGATCAGAATATTCATACCCAGGGTACCCACCCTAAGGGCAACTTCCAGATGAACAGATATTTTTATTCCAGCTGCCACACATGACAGATATTATCAATTATTGATATACATGGCTTCAGCAGATTTATGAATTACTTTCCATTATAATGGGAGGAAGCATTTGTGCTGTATTATTTTGTAATAAAGTTTTGATTACAATAATTTACTTTATTAATAAAGTTAAGGTTACAATTTTTCAGCCATAAACAGTTTGTATATCATGTTATCTCATTTTCATTATAAATATGAGTTTAGTCAAGCTAATTACCTACACCTTTACATTATAGTAATTTAATAAGTAATTTAATATATAGAAAGTGATATTGATTTTGTTTTACCTGAAATTTGATAATGTCTAATAGCTGGAATTGAAAGATTTAGTTAAAAACAGATGTTGCCATATACAATTTCTAAGACTTTGATTTTCTTACAGTCTACAAAAAGAATAGTTTATGAAGTAATGTCTGCAAAATATGTGTCACTTTTTAACTGTGAAAGGAATGAAATGAATGCAAGTCTGAAGGCATAATAATAATGATATTACGATAATGAAATTGAAACTTCATACTAGTGTGACTTGCACACTAGTTCAGTAGAGATAAAAACAGACTACTTTTTCTGATATCTGTTTTATTAGACAATGTGCTTTAAAAAAAAATGCAATTATATTAATTGAAATGCATTTTATCTATGGTAATAATTCTAACAACTCAGCAGCTGATAACTTACTATTGATTTTTACACTGGATTTATTTGGTAAATTAAATGTATGCTTTATAATGTAAAGTTATGCATTTAATTTGACATTGACAACTTAAAGGCCAATAAGGCACCAAAAATGTTATCATTTTTATTTTTTAAAAGCTTTTTAGTAGCTTGACTTTTTGAAGAACAGTGAGAGCTTTTGTACTATTCTAGGCTTCAATGTTGGCATCACACTTTGGTCAAGTTTTTGCATGCAAGTTGGTTTCTATATTACCTTACTGTCAAGCAATAAGAATAGTCGAGTTTGCTGGTCTACTGACAGCTTTTGTTTTTAATGCCCTTTTGCATTTTTCAAAACATTTACTCATAGGCTATATAACTGAGCCATATTTTTCTTCTTTCAAATTTTGCAATAAGATATTATAGTGATTAGATATTCTGTATGGAATTCAAATTACCACTTTGTTAACAATTACAATTTGCTGCCTTTGTGATAGATCATCTGGAGCATTTGAAATGGAAAAATATGCAAAACATAATGAAGAGGTATACTCAGAATTTAATCAATTGAGCCGTGCCATGACAAAACCAACATAATGGGTTTGCGACCAGCATGGATCCAGACCAGCCTGCACATCCGCACAGTCTGATCAGGAACCATGTTGTTCGCTTACCAACCCTATTACATGTAGAGAAACTGATAGCAAACAGCATGGATCCTGATCAGACTGCGCTGATGCGCAGGCTGGTCTGGATCCATGCTGGTCGCAAACGCACTATGTTGGTTTTGTCGTGGCGCGGCTCAATTAAATTTTATTTGCAATTGATGTGAGTTAAAAATCAAAAATTGGTATGTAAGTGCCTGAAAAGTTCAGTATGGAGATCATCTTTAAATGTGAGTTTGAGTTATGATGTTTTATGTATATTTTGTACACAACATTAGATCAAGAGCTTTCTTCTTGCATTTAAGTGTTTCATATCATTAATGTGAACAAGTTTAGAAACAGATTAGTCGAGTAAACTGGGGCAAAACCCAACCTGAGCAATAATGTGGGTTGGATTAGTTGTTATGATTAGGAAAATTCACTTTGTATGGAGTCTTGTATTGATTTGGATAAGTTGTCAAATATTGTGTTGTTTTAGTAGGTTATCAATTATTGTGTTGTTTTAGTATGTTATCAATTGTTGTGTTGCTTTAATAGGTTATAGTGTTATTTATTTCAGATTGAGTCTGTTACCATCAGAGCTGGGTCAACTGGGCCATCTAAATAAATTGGAGTTAGATAAGAATAGTCTTCAATACCTGCCTTACACATTATCATTCTTACATGATAAACTTAGCCTTTCATGTAAGCTTTTCCTGTTTTGTTTTCGTTTACTATTAACATTAAAGTTATGTACTAAAATCTTTTAACAGTGCGCCAGCTTTTATATTGTAGTGATATTTTGACGTTTATGTTTATAGAATCAGATTTTTCAAAAAAAAGGTCATGTATTTCACAGGTCATATATTTAGATATTTTTACTATCTATATTATTTCTTTGATTAACCATGTCAGTATGTTTTGCTTTTTTTGAAATGCTGAATAATTAATAAAACTTAACTTTCATCATGATTTGAAATGTGATTTCTCATAAAGGTTATTTTTGCAGTTTAACTATAAGAGGAGAGTTGCTTGCTGAATTATGTTTAACTTGCCACTTTTTTTTAGTTCTTCTGCTATCTTTTGTATTATTTCATAAATAATACGCTATCAATGTTACAAATGAAAGATTCACATGAATGTCAGTAAAGAAACCTCAGAAAATCTTCAAATTGTAGATATTGCTTTACATGTCATGACTGTTGAAAAAAAGCTCTGTATTTACAATGTAAATTGCATAAATAATTCTTTATCATAGTTTTAATCTTGTGTTTTTATAATGGTATGTTATATATACATGTTAATGTGTTTTTAAATATCAAAATCTGTAAATTTTCAGTGAATGAAAACCCATTACTTTCACAAGAAGAATTTCCAAAGTTCAAATACAGTCCATTGCCGGGACCAAATTTGTTTCCAAGTCTTAAAGAGTTCACTGCAAGGGAGATAATTAAGAAAAACATTCCATCTACTAAAACATTACCAGTTGTGCTTCAAGGTAATTGAACTAATTCTTTTTTTCTAAAGCTCCATTGTATGAAAGAATTTAATGCTTTGCTTGATTTGAAAGAAGTTAAAGATTGGCAACACCTGCAGTGACATAGTCATGATGGTTTTATATATCAAGCAATCTGTAATTTGCGATGTTTAACTGATATAAACACAGTAAAAACCAATGATTGCGGTAAACCTATCAATAATCAGAGGAAACATGTGTTTTTATGCAATATATAGTATTTTATCACAATTTGTTAAAAACAGTATTTTGTTACAAAAATTTGATGGTTTCCTTATATTTTGTAGACATGCTTCAGAAGTCAGGGTGCTGTTCTAGCTGTGGGGAACCAGTCTGTGAATTTTATTGCAGTGAAGTTATTCCAGTGAATTTTTTATTTGGTGGAGACTGGGTCCCACTTTACAAGCAGATGTGTTCACCGCACAGACCTCAAGGATGTGGTTAATGGACCAGTCTATAGAAGATTCAAATATTATCTGTGATTAAAATTTGCTAACCAATCTATAGTTAATTTTTTAGAAACAAAATATAGGGATAATCCAATCAAATTTACTATAGAAAATTTATCAATTTGAATTTCTTATAAAAAAAAATTCATAATCAAATAGTTTTTAGGTCAAGACTAAAGACATTTTTCTCCTGCTTTGTGGTTCAAAATTACTCAAAATATCTTAATGGTGGTCTGTTGGTGTCATATTCTTTTAACATGCTTTTCGTATAGGGTAAAATAATGCACAGATTTATAATTTTATGTATAATTCAGGACTGGGTAACATACATTTGTTAATTTATAGATTGCTATATGTGCTACTTTATATCTATTGCATGTATTTATTGCCTTTTATTTATCCAGATGTGTTATTATGATTTTATTGATTTACTTTAATAGTCAGTTGGGCTATTTCCAATTATTTTATGATCATTCTGTTTTAGATATTATATGCTGATAACTGTGAAGTGTCATGCTCCTTACCTTGTGAAGATAAGTCTATTTTACTCTGCTGTTTAATGCCCTTTTTAGCTCACCTGTCACAAAGTGACAGGGTGAGCTTTTGTGATCGCTTTTCGTCCAGCGTCCGTCCGTCCGGCGTCCGGCCGTAAACTTTTACTTTAAATGACATCTCCTCATAAACCACTGAGCCAATTTCATCCAAACTTCATAGGAATGTTCCTTTGGTGGTCACCTTTAAAAATTGTTCAAAGAATTTAATTCCATGCAGAACACTGGTTGCCATGGCAACCGAAAGAAAAAACTTTAAATATCTTTTTAAAAAAACCATTAGAGCTAGAGCTTAGATATTTGGCATGAAACATCTTCTAATGAGTGTCTACCAAGTTTGTTCAAATAAAAGCCCTGGGGTCAAAATTGGCCCCGCCCCGGGGGGTCATTGATTTTCCCTATATGCTTATAGTAAACACTTAAAAAATTTTCTTTTAAAGAACCCAAAGAGCTAGAGCTAAGATATTTAGCATGAACATGTTCTAATGGGTGTCTACCAAGTTTGTTCAAATAAAAGCCCTGGGGTCAAAATTGGCCCCGCCCCGGGGGGTCATTGATTTTCCCTATATGCATATAGTAAAAACTTAAAAAATCTTCTTTTAAATAACTCAAAGAGCTATGGCTAAGATATTGAGCATCAAACATGTTCTAATAGGTGTCTACCAAGTTTGTTCAAATAAAAGCCCTGGGGTCAAAATTGGCCCCGCTCCAGGGGGTCATTGATTTTCCCTATATGCATATAGTAAAAACTTAAAAAATCTTCTTTTAAAGAACCAAAAGAGTTAGAGCTAAGATATTTAGCATGAAACATGTTCTAATAAGTGTCTACCAAGTTTGTTCAAATAAAAGCCCTGGGGTCAAAATTGGCCCCGCCCTGGGGGGTCATTGATTTTCCCTATATGCATATAGTAAAAACTTAAAAAATCTTCTTTTAAAGAACTCAAAGAGCTATGGCTAAGATATTTAGCATCAAACATGTTCTAATAGGTGTGTACCAAGTTTGTTCAAATAAAAGCCCTGGGGTCAAAATTGGCACCGCCCCTGGGGTCATTGATTTTCCATATATGTGTATAGCAAAAACATAAAAAATCTTCTTTGAAAAAACCCAAATAGCTAGAGTTAAGATATTAAGCATGAAACATCTTTTAGTGAGTGTCTACAAAATTTGTTCAAATAAAAGACCTGGGGTCAAAATTTGCCCCGCCCCGGGGGTCATTGATTTTCTTTATATGTGTATAGCAAAAACTTAAAATCTTCTTTGAAAAAACCCAAATAGCTAGAGTTTAGATATTAAGCATGAAACACCTTCTAGTAAGTGCCTACAAAGTTTGTTCAAATAAAAGCCCTGGGGTCAAAACTGGCTCGGCCCCAGGGGTGTCATTTTTTTTAAATATATGTGTATAGTAAAAACTTTTAAAAAATCTTCTTTTAAAAAGCCCAATGAGCTAGAGCTTAGATGTTTAGCATGAAACATCTTCTTATGGGTGTCTTCCAAGTTTGTGCAAATAAAAGCCCTTGGGTTTAATTGGCCCTGCAACGTTGGGGGGGTTGGGAGGCCTATGTACAGGTGAGCGACCTCAGGGCCATCATGGCCCTCTTGTATGTTTTTATTGTGAGCTGTTCCTTTTTAATTTAATGTCAGCAATGAAGCAGCTGTGAAGCTTTTTGGTGGCTGGACCCTGTACTGGTGTAGGTCCTTGGTAACTAGGTTCTATACATATTTAAAGGTCCTCTATGGTTGGGCCCTATACTGATGTATTGGTCCTTGATATCTGGGTCTTACACGGATGTATAGATCCCTGTTGGCAAGCCAAGAACTTCTACAGAGTTATGCAACCCCTTTTTTTGCTTTGCCTGTATCAAACTGTCAAGTGCAGAGAAAAGTGGAGCATACAGTCCTTAGACAGTTCTGTTTTTGTCAATTGTCTCACAAGTTTCTATCTATAGTTATACTATATATTTATTAAAACTGTACTTCCTTTATCACAAAAATTTTAATGAAAGAAAAAATGTAAAATGGTAACTGATTAATGTTACTTTGAAGCTTGATTATTTTATAATATATTGTATTTTAAATCAATTTATAGTACATGTACTGGATTGTGACTCCATTTAATTGGTCTTGTTTTTTGTGATTGAGTGTTATGAAAAAATGGCCATTACAGTAATAAAGATGGATTTAACACGATAAAATTCACATTATCTATCACATGTTAACCCATTACGCGATATACACGCCTTTTACACCCCCCCCCCTTTTTGTTGTCTCAAATGCTCATGAAGTAATGAGGTAACAGAAGGTAATGCTGTGCCTCAGGAAAACAAGAAAAAAACATTGTCAAGTGCTGCATTTTAAAGTCATTGTCCATCAAAATCATTTATTTATTTGTTAATTTGTTTTTAAATTGTTGTGTATAAATTCTTGGAAATCAGTTAATGTAGTTATTCATCTTTAAATATGCCCATCTAGTTTTAGGATAATACATTAATTTAATTATTTGATTGTAGAGAAAGTTTTAGCACTTCATTGTATTTTATTGGTTTAGTTAGTATGATATTTTAGTGAGCTTAATTATATACATATGTTTAAGAACAATTGCTTTTAATGAAATATTTTACCACCGACTTGTTTTTCCCAATTTTATGTGAACAAAAAATGCAAACTTCAGATGTTCAAATTGTAAATGTTGCTATTTTGTTCAGTGATTAATATATACATATTTAAAACACATTCTTAAGAGAATAATACAGAAAATTATTTCCAGACAATATCAGAATTCCAATGAAACTCGAGGAATAATTTATAACAGTCTAATTCTAGGTTATTGTTCTGGTTGCTCTCAACACATATGAGCCGCGTCACGACAAAACCAACATAGTGCATTTGCGACCAGCCTGCGCAGTCTGATCAGGATCCATGCTGTTTGCTATCAGTTTCTCTACTTGTTATAGGGTTACCGGTTTGTAAGCGAACAGCATGGATCCTGATCAGACTGCGCAAATGCGCAGGCTAGTCTGGATCCATGCTGGTCGCAAACCCATTATGTTGGTTTTGTCATGACGCGGCTCATTATGATTTTTTGCAGTTATTAATGTTTAACTAGTTTCATGGCCAGATATCCTTGTATAATGGCCAGCATTGGTTAATACTAATTACTATGTGATTTATACATGTATTACTTTGTAATCACAAATACTTTCACAATGATGCTAAAGTAGATAATTTTATGCTTTCTGATGGCTTTCCAAAAAATTATATCATTTTTTACGGAGACGAGGTTCATGAAAATTCACAACAATAAAAATGTACATATCATTCAATGTTAGCTGGTTTAAAACATGTTTACATTATTAATTTGGCTCATGGGTTTGGATGTAATCATATAAATACATTATTCCTCAACAGGTGAGCTGTTCTTAATTATTTATTGGCAGTTTAGACAAAGGGACCAAAATTTACACATATCCATCTATATTGTATTACTTCCTGTTTTTACAGCCATAATAAAAAGCAGAGGACTATTGCAGTAATTTTGTGGTACAGTAAGGTGTTCAATTTTCATCCAGTGCTCATAAATGTTTACATATATGTCATCTAGTCATTTAAATGTAGCTATTTATATCTTACATGTGTCTGTCTGTTTTTGTTTTATCTATGTCTTGTCATAATGTTTATGTACACAAATGTTATTGTTTTGCACAAAAGGATATTAACATATCTAATTTCTTGTTTCATGGGAAATAAAGCTTTAAAACACAAATAATAGTTTTGCTTTTCATTATTTTTATGAAGCATATCTGTAAAACTTTGTTTTAAGATTTTTTTCTAGTAAAAACACTACAGTGTATAATCTAAAGGTGATAATTTGCTTGCCTGCTTAACGACAACAAGGGTTGTAAATAAAACTTGAAATAAAACTTGAACTTGGTTTTAGTTTCATACACATGTTGTTATTTGAATATTCCTACTGTTGAAACTCTTGTTTTAAAAGAGCTCTTCAGAAAGGTCAGGCAGAAACGCTTCCCTTACAAAACAATACAGTAAAGGCCGAGTAAAACCGATAAAGATTTGACACTGTTTCACAAAGCTCATAAATAGATTATATTGAATGAGTGTAATTCATCTGAATTTATTTAACAAGTTGAATAAAGTTATATAATTGGAATCCTGGCTAGTATATTATTTTATTCAACAAGTTAATAAATTCGAACTTTACATGAATATAATATTCTATTTATCACATATACCCAAAATAAAGGCCGTTTTGATTGAAAAATAATCAGTTTTTATTGACACGCTCATGGTGTTCTTTACAATGCTAACATTTAGCGTATTTTTACACTATGCTTTTATAATGCAAGTGGTGTCATGTCAAAATATATGCACGGCTGTGCAATACCATTTTTACAGAGTCGCAAAAAAGGTACAGATATGTGATAGAGAAGGATTTCAGCTTTATTAGTTGACTGTAAGATATTTGTGATTATATTATTTTAAAATAATAGGAGTGTGTAATAGAACCACTAATCTTCTGTAACTAAATGCTATCTACCTTTCTGGGAAATTATGAAACCCAAAAATTGTACATTTATCAAATATACTCCTTAATTATCATATTTTTCCCTTTTCTTGACCTGTGCAGTCTACAGAAAGCTCAGTTTGATGTATTTATAAATCTGAGCTCTGAACAATGCTATATTTTATAGAAATGAACATCATGAACACTTAGATATTTATCTAATGTTTTTGGTTTACACTGTCAATATACCAACTCTTTCAATTATCTCATGTTTTACAATGAACAGTTTGATATACCAGCTCTCATTTATCTGATATATTTTACAAGGTAAAAATACAAATACAACAGCAATGTTAAGTTTGAAATGTAGTTTATTCACTCACAATTTAAATATCGAACTTTTCATTTTAACATTTACAATGCTAAATATCTTAAACTAACTTGCCAAGCTTTTAATCTGACCAAATGCACCATTCTTCCCTTAAGTTTTGAAACATGTACCAACTTCCTAGTGAAAAGAGCAGACCACGTCTTGGTAGACAGGAATGGTCTCTTGGTTATATTCAGTTCCTGCTAGCAGACTTAGTGGTTAATAAAGAAAACAAGAGGGCCATGATGGCCCTAGATCGCTCACCTGAATTATCAAACTCATCCAAACAATTACCTAGACAAGCATTCTGACCAAGTCTCATGACAGGTGAGTCAAAAATGTGACCACTACAGTGTTAACAAGGATTATCCATATTTGAGCAGTGCGACCTAGTTTTTTTACCCAGGTGACACATATTCAAACTTGACCTAGAAATCATCAAAACAAACTTTCAGACCAATTTCCAGGATACTTGGATCAAAATAGTAGCAACTAGAGTGTTAACAAGATTTTTCTATTTTTAGCTCCGGTGACCTAGTTTCACATGTGATTTCGAACTCATCCGAGCAATTACCTAGAGAAGCATCCTGACCAAGTTTGATGATAATTGAGTCGAAAATGTGACCACTAGAATGTTAACAATGGTTTTTCCATATTTGGGCGGTGTGACCTAGTTTTTCATCCAAGATGACCCATGTTCGATCTTGACTTAGAAATCATCAAAACAAACTTTCAGACCAATTAACAGAATATTTGGATCACAACAGTAGCCACTAGAGTGTTAACAAGATTTTTTTCTATTTTTAGCTCCTGTGACCTAGTTTTTTCATCCGAAATGTCCCATGTTCGATTTATTCCCAGCAATGACCTAGACAAGTTTCCTGACCAAGTTTGATGACAATTGAGTCAAAATTGTGACCACTAGAGTGTTAACAAGGTTTTTCTATTTTTAGCTCCTGTGACCTAGTTTTTCATCCGAGATGACCCATGTTCGAACTCATCCGAGCTATCACCTAGACAAGGCATCTTGATCAAGTTTGATGATGATTGATGCAAAAATGTGACCGCTAAAGTGTTAACAAGGTTTTTCTATTTTTAGCTCTGGTGACCTACTTTTTCATCCGAGATGACCCATGTTCGAACTCATCCAAGCTATCAACTAGATAAGCATCCTGACCAAGTTTGATGATGATTGATGCAAAAAATGTGACCACTAGAGTGTTCACAAGGTTTTTCTATTTATAGCTCCGGTGACCTAGTTTTTCATCCGAGATGACCCATATTCGAACTCATCCGAGCTATTATCTAAACAAGCATCCTGACAAAGTTTGATGATGATTGGGTCAAAAATGTGACCACTAGAGTGTTCACAAGGTTTTTCTATTTTTAGCTCCTGTGACCTAGTTTTTCATCAGAGATGACCCATGTTCGAACTCATCCAAGCAATTGACTAGACAAGCATTCTGACCAAGTTTGATGATGATTGGTTCAAAAATGTGACCACTAGAGTGTTCACAAGGTTTTTCTATTTATAGCTCCTGTGACCTACTTTTTCATCCGAGATGACCCATGTTCGAACTCATCCAAGCTATCACCTAGACAAACATCCTGACCAAGTTTGATGATGATTGGGTCAAAAATGTGACCTCTAGAGTGTTCACAAGGTTTTTCTATTTTTAGCTCTTGTGACCTAGTTTTTCATCCGAGATGACCCATGTTCGAACTCATCCGAGCTTTCAACTAGATAAGCATCCTGACCAAGTTTGATGATGATTGAGGCAAAAATGCGACCGCTAGAGTGTTCACAAGTAATTGTGGACGGCCGGACGGACGACGGACGACGGACATTCACCGATCCTAAAAGCTCACCCTGAGCAAGCTCAGGTGAGCTAAAAATCATTTGATTCCTAAGAACATATAATTCATCACATTTTTTTTAATTCCTAAAGAATATGGCACCAGGAATATAATGCCTCAATATAACAAAATAGTATTTCTTAATAAATTATCTACTGGATTGACAACATTTCAACTTCAAAAGTATAACACAGCTTACAACATTATCTGTTAGCTTGCATTACATGTGCAATATTTATGACACAACATGATGGTACTATTTCATGGAACTTTAAATAAACTACTACCATCATCAAGTTGGATAGAGTGTAGCAAAAGTAAGGAATCCAGTATGACCTGGCATTTGTATTGGTGGGGTTGCAGCCTTAAAGAAGAAACTTTGCTCATCTTTACAACCTATCAGATCCCAGCTATGTCTTGTATTCTCCACTGACTTCTCTCCGTCAAGTTTTTGTTTCTTTGATTTTCCTTGCTCTTCATCATCTTTATTGCCTCTCTTGCTGTCTTCAAGTTCTTTATTATCCAAATCTTTGTCATCTTTTACACTTGTTTCATTGTCCTTATTTTCTACACGACCTGCATTGACTGATTCTCCTTTAGAATTATCACATGATTCAGGTTTAACTTTTTCAGGTATAGCTTCTTCAGGACCTAAATCTGCTCTTGGTAAATTAATTGTTTTAACATCATAGTTTTTAAGGAGACATTCCAATGTTTTCAATTCTATAAAGCCATGCTGTGTTAATGTTTCACAAGTTTTCTGTACCTGTTCTATACATGGAGAAAAAGAACACAATCTTCCACCTGAAACATATTTAAACATGATTATAAACTCCACAGCATTAGCAACAATATTGCCAAGCCAATATATTAAATACAACCAGTTGGGAGCAAATACAGTGTAATATTAATCCCATCTAATGATCTATGACCAGATCCTTTATATTGTAGAATACTTATATTAGTATTTTGATACTAAAAATAACATCTCTGACAAATAAATCCAAATTCTACGCTTGGTATTAAAAATTAAGATATAAAGTACTAATTTAACACCATTCCAATTAGTAATATATGGGCACTGACTCAAATTAAATATAAATAGGAATTCAAATAAATGCCCAGTCTTTTTTAAAAAAAGTCCCAATTGAACTGAAATTCCTGATATCCGAACTGACAAATTTGCTGAAGTTCATTCAAGTATTGAAACAAACATATCTAAATTACCAAATATAATTGTACTAGTTATGCTTCAACCGACATATTGTGTAGAATATACTATCTCCCACAGTTCAAAATACTATGATTAAAGAGCCTGGAAGAAGGTTTCGAAAGATATTGAATATTTTACCCAATAAAGCAATTTTACAAAGCAAAATTTCACAAATGTTTCCACAAAATGGCTAGGAAAAGGCCTGTCTGGATTTCAAATGACTGTGTTAATTTCAGACTAGAATTATACTGAAATCCATGATAGTAAATAACATTTACCACTGACTTGTAAAGTTTTTTCTGAACTTTTATTAAGTCAAGCAATTGAAACTTAACAGTTTACTCAGAATGATTGTATTGTAAAGAACTGGTGAATAAGTTAAATTGAGATTGCAATTTTCTCTAAATTAATGAATACCTGCAAACAATTATTTTCTAACCTTCAAGTTTAAGAGCTTGTTTGGCACTTTTAATAACTTCCCATGGCTTAGGTAGATCTAGAAACACTGCATCTGCAATATGGTCCAACTGAAAGCCATCCTGGCATACATCTCTATGTGTTACTGTTACATTATCAGATATTCCTGCAATTATCAATTCAATCTACTATAGCCTGTAAGTCCAAAGAAATGCCTTGTAATTTGAATATTCTAAACATATTCAGTATTTTATATTATTTACTACACACTTGAATAAAACCAGGGATCACATTTCTTGGCAACTTGGGCAAAATAGTCGCTCTGTCTCCCTCAATTTTGCCCGGTTTGCTTAGAAAAGCGGAAATAAAGTCGCCCTTATTTGGATAAACAAGGCAATAATTGTGTCAAAATCTTCCACGCTCCACCTATTTTAAAACAGACTGTTAAAGCTATTTTCATTGGTTGGTAAAATTGGAAAACCAATGAAACGTGGCAATGCAATTGAGCGGGTGTTGGAAGTCAACATGTGACATCTTCCGAGTGTCGATAATTGCCAAATAAAATGTCAATAAACAACAATTTAACAGATTAGCAGCAATTCATTTCAATTGAGACCAATAAGGGACATACTTAGCGCATAAATTTGTCAGAAGGTCTAGTGATCATGTTGTATATGTTTGCAGATTGCTTTACAAAAGCGTATCGCCAAAAACTATAGTCAAACATTTTGATGTATAAAAAAAAACAAAAATTTTCTTGTCAAAAGTCGAAATAGCGAATAAAAAATGATAGGTAAATGGATTTCATTAGACAATTGTAGTGGTGAAATATCCAAGGATTATTCTTTTAATGAATTTCTAATCTTTGAGAATGGTTGTAAATTAAAGAAGTTAATATTTCACTGTGATGATACTTGCTAGCTGATGATTGTGATGCTCGAATAAAATGTAGCTAAAGCAAAATATTTTAACTTGCAGTGGTTGCAGTTTGATATTATTTGAGGACATCATTATTTTTTCTCTACTGTACACACGTTAACTATTCTGTTGAAAAAAAAAAAAAAGCAACACATAAACCTTATAAGGACTCTGCACTGTCTAGTAATATTTTTGGGGAAATATTGAATGATGAATTATACTAGTGATTTACTAAAATAAACTGTTTTTATTTTTTATTTCAGCACAACAACACCTAACTGCAAGACTGCAAGCTACACAAAATCTATGATGAACATAATAGAGATGAAAAAAAAGACTGCCTGCAATGCAAGCATTCATTTCATTTCACATTTGTAGCTTTGCTGTTTATTGTTATCATACAAGTTACTTAATAAACTGTTATGTACATGCATTGTTTTAGTCCACCCAATGTTTGGTCAATCTCAAACTTTTAAGTATAAGTGGAACATCAACACTTCCAAAAAATGCAAATTGTATGAACTTCTCCTTGTCCCCAAAAACTTCTCCCTATTTTCACTGGAGGGAAGTCATTTCTCATACATGTGAACTCTCCCACTTTAAGCGGGAGACTCCCGCTTTCTGCAGACATATTTTCTAAGAATTTTTTTAAAATAAGGGGTATTTTCACAAATTAAAGAAATCTCCCTATTTTGAATGTCAGAAATTCCTTCTTTGTTTATTGCAAATTCTAAAATCTCCCTCTTATTGAAGAAAAATCTCCCTCTTGATCATCAAAAAAAGTTCACATGTATGATTTCTCCCTAAAATTTAGGGCTAGCGTGATCCCTGAAAACAGGTATAAAATTATAATTTATCTTTTAAATAAAATGATTCAATCTTGACTTAAGGTCTCAATAACATAGGAATTTGGATGTACTGCACTTTATTGTAACTTCTGTAACATTTGCTACAGATACTATAAAGAGAAATACGGATACTTCATACCATGCCTTGTGAATTCTTCTTCTGCAACTTTTGCCCGCTGATCATGAAACTCAAATGTATGAAGATGTCCAGTTGGAGCTATGGTTCTGATGAGTGCATGCGATAGAGACCCACTGCCAGTACCTATAACAAATTTATATGTGTCTTGATTTCAGGATATTATTTCTATTACACATTTACACTCATACAAATCTAACTCTGAAAGAAAACTTTACATTAGCGATAATTGTATACATGTAAATTATAACTATTTTCTCAACTTATATACACAAAACATAGCATTAAAATCTTTGACACCAATATAGCAGTACAGTACTGTATGTATTGCTCACAAATTGGTGTATCAAACTTCAGAGATAATTACTGGATGAACCTACCAAATATACTCAGGTTAAGACCCCGGGTCTTATAAGTTATCTAGAATATTACATGTACACAAT